AAAAGCTGATAGGCAGCTGATGGCTAGACATGGATGTTCTTCTGTTTACTGGTAAATATTCTGCTTTCTGGGCACTTGAGGAGTCCTGGGGTCACCTGGAGGGACTGCCGAGCCAAGCTGAAGGGCTAAATATTTAATGGTAGTTTCTGCACTAAGTAGGATGACAAAAAACACGTGGGATTTTTTAAAACATCGCTGAAGATCTGCGGTTCCCAAGTCAACCTCAGTCTCTCCACCAATGTTCTTGGAGTGCCACTTCCAGAAACCCCGGACAGTCCAGCTCATGGTCAAGGCTTCTGGGAGTTTTAGTCCAAGAACACCTGGGTGACCCAACCTTGGGAACCACTGGTCTTGCCAGTTAAAGAAGTGTATAAATGCATTTTAAAAATAATATGAGAGTGTATTGGCCTGATTTTGCCTGGTCAGCTACAGTATTTTGTTTTACTGCTAGTATATTGCACAGTGTCCACAGCTGGATTTCTTGGTGCTTGAGGCTCAGAAGGATCAGGTGAAGCAGGTAGGCTAAGAAGAGGGACTGACTGAAAGTCACCCAGTGAGCTTTAAGGGTGATTGGGGCGACTTGAATCTGGACCTCCTGAATGCCAGGCCCACACTCTTACTGTACGATCCCAGGGTGCCCTTAAATGCTTCGAAAGGAACATGTCAGATGAAGAGACTCGCACCCGGAATCCAAGGGGAGCGGAGTTGAATCAAGGCAGGAACTAGAATGTTGTTAGGTAGCATTACTTTGTGCTGCCTCCTGTTTTTTTTTGTTTGAAGATTTCCAGTGATGGGTAGATGGGATGTCCAAGAGGTGGCTTTCCAGGTGTTGGACTACAGCTCCCATCGGCCTTAAAGTATGAGTGTTTGATTGATGTTCTGCTGATTCAAAAAGGCCTTACTTAGCTTGGCCCTTCCTTATGCTAAAGTCAGATAGGCCACCCTTGATGTTCACATGATTCAGGGTGGGCAGATGTCTGTCTACACCATAGGTTCCCAAACTTATTTTGCCCTCTAGACCATTTGCCAACTTATTTGTTTTCCATAGACCCCCTGCCTGCCTATGTGTGTGCCTGTATAGCTCAGTAATGAGAAATGACAAAATGTTATTGATCCCATTTACAACACCAACATTTACCAAAAATTTTTACCAGTAATTTTACGAACTTACACATGAATGTAGCACGCCACAATAGAGATAGTACATAGTACCTAATTAAATAATAATATGAAATATTATGTACACAGAATCTGTGTGTGGTGTAATTACTAAATAGTTATTATGATCTGTTCACATACATCCCCATTTACATCTTGTGCACCCCCAATTTTTTCTCTCTGACATGGACCCCCTGCAGGTCAAAATCAACCCCTGGGGGTCCATAGACCACTTTGGGAGCCTATGGTCTCCACCTTCCTCTTATGAAAGACCCTCCCTGGTTAATTTCAAGTGACCAAGAATTCCCTCTGCCCAGGTAAACAGCAGCCCTTTTGTCCTTTGGCGTGTCTGAAGCTACGTCAGGCTGACAGAATAGACGGGGTAGAGCCTTCCAGCCTTCCCTGCCGGTGACCTGATGGAATGTATTTCTTGTATGTAATGAGCCTGCAAAGAAGCTCATAGTTTGTGCTTCAGTGCCTGCTGCAGAGAAGCCGGGCTTCCACCCCTCTGCAGCTACTGCAGAAACACGGCAGGCTTATAAAGCTGCTCCTGCAAGTTAATTGTTTAGAAGGACTTTTTTTAAAACAAGCTGGGACTCACTTTCTTCCTGTCGATTGCAGATGCCTGAAGAAGGGGAGAGAGAGGCAGGTCTAGAGAGAGAAGACGAGGAGACGGCTCTCACCCGAGAGGGGAGGCAGCGAGGGAAGAAAAGGCCTCCTGTGTCCGAAGGCACCTTGCAACCGGTGAAGCTGTGCAAAGCGGAGCTGTACAAGCCGCCCACCAGCGAAGAGCTGAGTCGCCTCAAGGAGACAGAGAACCTCTTCCATTCCAACCTTCTGCGCTTGCAGGTCGGTCTGGGCAGGGAAGTGGACTTGGCGAGGCAGGCGTGTCCCTCGGGTGGGCCTGCTTGTAACTAAAAGGAAGAGTCTTCCTTTCTTGACATTCTCCTCCTCCTTGCATGCAACCTGGGGCTCCTTTTCCTGCTAATGTGGAACAATTAATCTGCCCAGGGACCCCTTTCAGTCATACAAAGCATGCTGCTTTGTATATACCTGCATATTTAAGGAGTGTGTAAATAGCTTGTGTTCAACACTTTTGATGACCCATATTTCCCTCTTCCAGAACTGTTTGAGTCTCCTGCAAAGTGTTCAGAACCCATGTTCCGTTTGTAGTTAAGATCATGTTGTCCTAAGCCCCTTACCTATGTTTCTGACAGTTTTCCATTTTATTCAAGTTTCTAGTCCTCGGTTATAATATTCTCTGTTGTTTTCCTCTTAGTGTCCTTTGGGTGCTCTTAAATCCTTTCTTAATTTGCTGCATCCCCTAGATTAGTAGCGCCGGTGGCTTGTTCTATCTTCGGTTGTGAGAGGAACCGTAGCGTTTTGTGATGTCTTGCGTGGTTTCTGTTTTGCGCAGATAGAGGAGCTTTTAAAAGAGGTCACCCTCAAGGAGAAGAGGAAACAGAAAATCAACTCGTTCCTCCATGAAATCAATGCTGTGCTCAAGACAGTGCCTGAGACTCCCGAAAAAGAGGTACATAGGCAGGTTTGTTTGAAAGTAGGGCTCTCTGCACCGTAATTACATCCAGGATCATGGCCTTTCATTGCCTCCTGCTAACATTCCAAGTCTTTACTCCTATGGCAGTAACATTGGGAAGGAAGAGGCTTCAGCCAGCTAATACTTTGCGCTCTTAAAGCAAAATGCATGGCAGATTGGATCAGCGCCTGCAGCTTTTGGGCTGTTGATGTGGGATGCAGCCTGACTGTCTGATCTCCAGGTGGTGTGAGGTTGGTTCTAGGCCCTTTCTAAGGGTCAGATCTTTTTTTCCTGTAGAAGGGGAGAAACATGGCCTTCCAAGTGTTGGGTTGCAATCCCTCTGTGTGGGAGACAGACCCTGCTCACACTGGTGCAAAATAGTATTTATTAATGAGAATGCCTGGTGTGTTTTGGCCTGTTCATGTCCCAAAGATTTCTTCAGGAGACTGCAGGAAAATTATTGCTGGTTGCAAGGTGTTGTGAAACATACAGCCCACTGGTTAATGTGGTTTTTCCATGGGTTCTCTGATTCAGTTCTAAGGCCACTGGGATGGAACGGATCCTGCATCAGTCTAGAGCACTGGTTCTTAACCTTGGGTTACTCAGGTGTTTTTGGACTGTAACTCCTAGAAGCCTTCACCACCAGCGGTGCTGACTGGGGGTTCTGGGAGTTGCAGGTGCAAAATAGTATTTATTAATGAGAATGCCTGGTGTGTTTTGGCCTGTTCATGTCCCAAAGATTTCTTCAGGAGACTGCAGGAAAATTATTGCTGGTTGCAAGGTGTTGTGAAACATACAGCCCACTGGTTAATGTGGTTTTTCCATGGGTTCTCTGACTCAGTTCTGAGGCCACTGGGATGGAACGGACCCTGCATCGGTCTAGAGAACAAGGTCTGTGTCCTGGATACAAATTGATTTCTGAATTCAAATGGTTGGCCTGCCTTTGAATTGGGTTAGAAAACCAAAATGGCTGTAATTTTTTTTCCTTTTTGTGCTGGTGTATGGGAAATTGGGAGACCCGACAGACCTGAAAGAAATGTAGCTAATTTCAGAGAGCTAGCTTTAATAGTCTTTGTAGTAGGCATCTTGGCAATTGGCTGTAAAGGGGGGGCAGGCAGGGAAGGTTGAAATCACCTGTGCCCCAGCCGAGTCAGTTTGTAGACCAAATCTGAAAGTATTTGTAGATGGGTGCATTTCATCTTGAAATTGAATCTGTCCGTTCCATTTTGTTCTGGATTTTACACAGTTCGGTCTAAAGCAGGCCAATTCGGTTAGGATTTCACAGTCCGGCATTATATACTGTTGCTTCTGAAGTTTACCTTCAGTAGATATAAAATCCTCTCCGACTGCTCTTTCTGAGTAGTCCTGTTTCTTCTTTGAAGACTGCCACTTCTGTCTGCTCTAACCAGGATAATAGCTAATGATGAAAGATGATGGATGTTGCGGTCCAGTGAGATCTGAAAATACATCTGTTCCTCATCTTCATATATAGATAGAAGCAGGGTGAAACACAGAGGGACCCAACTTCTGACAGGCCATGGTAGCCAACCAAAGATTTGTGGTCTGGGCGCCTTTTCCTCGGAGGCAAAGTCTTGTCTCTCACCTTGTGTTGCACCTACAGATACAGTGCATGATCGAGGGATAAACCCTTGCTTCCGGCCCTTGCTGGGGATTGGGAGAAGGTCAGATATAGCAGAGCTTCTAAAGTGCTTGGCACGTCTTCAGAATTGTAGGACCATTCCTGTTCCGACCTTCTTCCTCTGGTTCAGAGCTATCAAGAGGCGTTTTCTTGACCACTTGCCAGAGATCCTTTTCTAGCCAGTCAGCCTCAGATTTCAGCCCCATCCGCTCTCGGTTCTACCTGTGTCATTTTGCCTTTCTCCCTCCCCATCCCCCCTTCTCTTTCCAGATCACGGACCAATCCTGGCTCCCCAAAGGGGTGAAGGTGCCGTTCCTGCAGCTTCCTTTCAGTGTGAAGGGCAAGTTCCACTTCTTGCCTCCTGAAGAGGTGAAGGTGGTGGGGAGTTACCTGCTGGGCACCTGCATCAAGCCCGAGGTCAACGTCGACGTGGCCCTGGTTATGCCCCGGGTGAGTGAGCCGCTCTCGATAAAAACCAGGGACCGTCAAAAGTGACTCCTCATAGCTTTGGTTGGCAGTTTGTGGATGGAAGGTTAACGTTCACCCCGGCTGTACCAAGGGGCTCTGTGTTTGCTCTCTTGGTGTGAACTTTTGCCCGTGGGGTAAAGGAGGAGCACATGCAGCCCTCGAGTCCTTTTTTTTTAATGTGCTAAATGCCTCGGGATAGATGGAATAATAATCCCGATACATGGAATAAGAATCCTGCCAGAAATGGGTGGATTTAGTGCTGAAAATTGGTAGTGCCGCTTGGGGATGAAAAATTTGTTGGCAAACCACTACCGTTACTGAGTGTTGCTCAATAGTGAAACGAAAATCTTCAGCTCTCTTTAATTAATCACTTTTGCAATAATTAATTAATTATTTAATCTCTTGCCAGATATTTCTGGCAGGAGATTACATGTTAAAATGTAATCTTAATTTTTCACTCGTTGTGTTGTTATATGTTACTTATCACCGGTTATACGTTACTTATCACTGCTTGTACGCTACCCAGAGCGCCCACTGGTCAGTGGTATAGAAAATGAATGAATGAGTGAATGAATGAATTATAATTCATTACTTCAGTCACTCATTCATTCATTGATTTTCTATACCACTGACCAATGGTCGCTCTAGGTACTGTACAAGCGGTGATAAGTAACATAACACAATATAATTAAAAGTGAAAAATTAAGATTACATTTTAAAACAGGCAGTGGTTAAAGATAATAGGCTTGTAATCTCTGTGGGCTGATCAGATGGAATATTTTGGAAAACCTGCTGGAATAAAAATGTTCCGAGAGGTTTCTTAAAGGTTGCAAGAGGGAAGGGGCAGGCAGATTTCAGGTGGCGACTCATTCCAGAGCCAAGGAATGACTGCCAAGAAGGCCTGGTTCCTTCTTTTCTCCTTCCAAGCCTCTCTCTGGGTTCATGTCCTCCGCCGTCCCGCCTGGGATGCAGGGGTTAAAGTGATCTGGCTTCTAGAATTGTCCGTACTGTCCGTGATGATCTTTTGCTGGTTTCTGTTTCTGGTTTGCCATCCCATCGTGACGCTTTGCTCTCAGCCCTGAACTCTCCATAGCTTGGTCGTTCTGGGAGGGTTAGAGGTGGGCATGAATTGGAAAACCTGTTGTCTGTGATGGTTGGTGGTCCATGGCTACCTATGAACCACGAACTATCACAAAACAACCCCCCCCCCGGTGGGGGAATTGAACTCCCAACTCTCTGGCTCCACAGCCGGATATCTAACCCACTGAGCTATCCAACCAGCTTAATCCTGGTTTATTCTGACTTTATGACAACCCTTTCCAGGCTTTTCTAAGTAGAAATGCTTAGAGGGGGGCTTTCCCATTCCCTCCCTCTGTGACTGGGCTGCTTGCTTGCCCAAGGCCACGCAGGACGTCTCTACGTTGCAGGAGGCGCCACGGGGGAATTGAACTCCCAACCCTCTTGCTCTACAGCCCGATACCTAACCCACTGAGCTATCCAGCCAGCTCTACTTGAGGCCACTTAGGGGAGGTGACAAAGGCTTTATGGATGAGGCGGTGCCTTTTCCTATACCCCAGCAGAGATTTATCGAATTCAGGGTGACAGTAATCAGACAGACAATGATATTGAGAGCAGCAAAGTAAAGAAATTGTATTGTAGCAGTAGTAATACATACAGAATTGTCCTTTCTTCAGTCCTTTGGTCATACACATTACAGCATTCAATGTCAGTCCGTTTACCATAGCATAAATCAAGAGTTCGTAGTAATATTCTGCTTTATAAATCAATCCTGCAGAGTAACTCCTTCTTTTCTCCATTCGACCCCAAAAAAACCCCCAGTAATCTGAGGCTGTCAGCTTTATTACCCCTTGTGGCCAATTAGCTCATTAGCTTTTACAGGCTTCTTCTTTAGCATTTTATTTCCACAGCTTTATTAAATCTAATAGGTAAGCTTGTTGCTAGCACAGCTGTAGTATTTGATCAAACTCCTTCTACAAACTTTGATCATCAATTCCTACAGGGATGTTTAAGACCTGACAGGAGCCATAATGGAAAAGGTCAGAGTTGTATCGAAGGCCTGTCATAGACTGGGCAGGCACTTAATAAACTGGCGCTCGGTTCTGATAAAAAATCCTGCTGGCAGGTGATGTCCCCATACGTGAAGGGGAAATCCAGCTCATTTTATATAGGATCGTCGTCCTGCTGAAAGATGAAGCTTGTTGGTTGACATAGCTTGGGAAAAACCGGCGTGCAGATGGTACCTTTCCCAGTCTTCAGTCCCCTGCCCGGGCTGTTTGTAAGCAGAGAGCAAGTGCTAAGGTTTGCCGACAAAGCCTTGAACAGCTTGGCTTGGGACCCAGTGGCCTGAAAGGCCCTCCTCGGTCACATGGATCTTCCTGAAGCATGTCGACCGACGTAGGTTATTGTCCAGGAAAAGGTCTTTCTGAGCATGGATCGCACGGTGTAGGTGTGCTGCGGTCTCTTGATGAGGGCGCTTGGTGGAGGGATGTGATCAGAGCTTCAGCGTTTCCAAGTGGTGGAACTTAATGCGTGGCTTTTTTTGATACTAGGAGCTTTTTCAAGACAAAGACAACTTGAACCAGCGCTATCACCGCAAGAGGGCCCTCTACCTGGCCCACATCGCCCATCATTTGGCCAAGAAGAAGCTCTTGGGGAGTGTGAAGTTCGCCTACATGAATGGAAACCATCTTAAGCCGATTGTGCTCTTGCAGCCTCAAGGTGAGGACCGGCTTCCCCTGTGCTTGCCAAGCCCTCTTTTTCTCATGCTCTAGTGTCTTCTGTGGGGAGCGGACCACTCATTTGTTGGGTAGCGCATTCGAGAAGCCACCTGAAAATTATAATTGATAACCGATGGAGCAGACACCTGTTGGATGTTGCTGTGACAGTTTGCATTAATGAAAGTATTGCTTCCAGGATGAAGAAGGTGTGTGTGTCTCGGTTGCTAAATTTCATCTGGCATCTGTACATTCTGGGATGGAGAAAAACCAGAATTTGTGATTGTACAGTGGTGCCTCGCTTGACGATGTTACTTCGTTCCAGTGAAATCTCTGTAGAGCGAAAACGTTGTCAAGCGAAATAAAAAAGCCCATTGAAATGCATTGAAAACCGTTCAGTGCATTCCAATGGGCTGAATACCTGCTCGTCCAGTGAAGATCCTCCATACGGTGGCCATTTTTGGGTGCCTGTTAAGCGAAAAATGCCTCCTAAAAACAGCGGGGAGCCATTTTGAGCAGCCGGCGTCCCTTTTGAAAACCCGGCAATCAGCTGTTTTGATCGCGTAATGCGAAGAATCGGTTCCCGAAGCAGGGAAACAATTGTCGCAAGTGAAAAAACCCCATTAAAACATTGTTTTGCGATAGTTGCGATCGGAAAAACATCGTCGTGAAGCGGATTTGTCGTTATGCGGGATAATCGTTAAGCGAGGCACGACTGTATTTAGAAGGACCCACTCTGCTCTCCTGCTGCTTTTGTAGGTCTTGTGAAGCTGAATGCTTGTGAAACCAGGAAGGGAAAACCCACCCACCCACTGAAGCCCCACAGTGATTTACATTTTATTTATTTATTTATTTATTTATTTATTTATTGAACTTATATGGCCCCCATCTAGACTATGTCTACTCTGGGCGGCTCACAGCAAATAGAATAAAAACAATTGAAAAATAACATCAATATCTCATCAATATCTCAACATTGTTGAAGTTGTTTTGAAGTTTGAGTCGTCATGGTGGACGAAGAAATATGAGCGGAAGCCTGAGTCGAGTGTGGTAACCTGGTGGAACAAAGGCCGGTCAGCTCAGTTTTACTCTGAAGGAACTGTGTCTTTTGCTTCCCGTGATTGCTAATCACTCTCACGGCCCTATTCCTCTTTATCTCTCTTTGATACCACTTTTGTTTCACTGATGGAGTCTCTAAAGCTATTCAGGCAGAGAAGATCCATCTGTGGGTGTGTCATTCAGGGTTAGGGGAAGAAGCAGCTTATAATAACCACGGTAGCGCAGCTGGACCTTGTTCTCAACTCTGCTGGTTTCCTTGTCTCCTTCTTCCTGGGTGGGTTCCCAGGCAAAGATGCCAAGATGGTGACCGTCCGCCTCTTCGCCTGCCCGGCCCAAGGGGTCTTCAAGCCTAGCCGCCTGCACCCCAGCAAGAACAACGTCCGCACCGCCTGGTTCCTGGAGAAGGACTCACCTGTGGCAGGTAAGGCTTGGGAGAGAAGGGAAGGTGATGATGTGATGATGGTGGCAGTCCTGTGTTTTTAGGTGCTCATGTGCCGGTAAGAATAAGAATAGCCAGACCCGGTCAAGGAGAGGGTGAGTTTCTCTTCCATCGGTGAAGATCATTTAGTTGTCTATGGAACCCACTGCTACAACCTTGCCGGTATCCTCATTGGCTTTAAAAGCAGGTTTGTGAAATTTGTGATGAGGTGAAGCTCTCTGGCAACAACAGCTAACAAAGCCTCCACTTTCGGAGAAGAACTTGGTCACTCATAGAAGTTACTTTTTTCCCCGGACTGCCATCTACAGATTCCGCAACTGTGCGCCATAGTCCGTGGCTTCATGGACTGGGAAATGTAAGGAGTGGGGGTCCTTAAAAACAGCATTTTTGGGTTCTGAGAGTGCCTTCGGTCTTGGTTTCTGTTCTCCTTAAAGGCTTCTGCTTTGACTAGTACAGGCCATATGACGTAATAACTCCTGTGGCATTTTATGTCTCTTGGTACTTAATCCTTGGCCGTCTTCCAAGAGCACAAGAAACTATAGTGGTGCCCCGCTTGACGATTACCTCGTTAGATGAGGAAATCGCTTAACGATAAAGATTTTTTGATCGCTTTTGCGATTGCAAAACAATATTTTATTTTTTCATTTGCTTTTGTGATTGCAAAACAATATTTTAAATGAGAAAAATCGCTTCACGATGACTGGTTCCCTGCTTCGGGAACCGATTTTTCGCTTTACGACGATCAGAAAACAGCTGATTGTCGGGTTTCGAAATGGCTGCCTGCTGTTTAAAATGGCTGCCCGCTGTGCTTAGGATGGATTCCTCGCACTAGAGGCACCAGAAAATGGCCGGCCTATGGAGGATCTTCGCTGGACGCTGAGGTATTTCACCCATTGGAATGCATTGAGTGGTTTTCAATGCGTTTCAATGGTGTTTTTCATTTCGCTTGACGAGGATTTCGCTTAACAGCGATTTGAACGGAACGGTTATTGTCAAGCAAGGCACCACTGTAGTCAGAGTTTTTGTCAAGCAAGGCACCACTGTAGTCAGAGATGCGCTGTTGCACACTTTGCAGTTGCATTTATTTGTGTGTTGCTGTTTTTTAATGTTGGCTGAAAGAAACTGCAACGAAAGTCATCTGACAGAGCGTCGTTCCTAGTTTTGACACGTGGGGAGCCCCAGTTTTGTTTTCTCTTCAGCCCAGAGAAAAAAGGCTGAAGGCTGGATATGTGGTGAGGATTGGCAGGTTTAGGCCTTTCCATCCACAGATTGCCGTGAGCCTCCCCTAAATACTGGTACCCAGAGTGGTGCAATGGATAGAGTGGACAGATTAGGACTTGCGGAGAACAGGGTTCGAATCCCCTACTAAACCATGGAAGCTGACTGGGGGAGTGAAACTCGTCATACCGTTCCTTAAATATCTCACTTACGAATCCCCTACTCAACCATGGAAGCTGACTGGGGGAGTGAAATTTGTCATACCGTTCCTTAAATATCTCACTTACCTTGAAAGCCCAATTAGGATTGCTCTAAGTCAGTTCCAACTGCGCAAGGCACTGTTCTTGGGGGTTAATCAACTAAAAGCCAGATGGTAAATCGACAATAAAAAATAAAAACATAGGTAAGATCAACGTACGAAGTTCAAAAACCAAGTCCTATCCCTTTAGCTGTACTTCTGCCTATTGACTTTGTGTTCATTTCTGTTTCTTGCTTGGTTTTTCCCCCCCCCCCAGGAGCTGCTGAGCCCCCGACCCCCCATTACAACAACTCCATCTTGTGGGATCTGGTGATGGAATCCCACCTGGCCTTCCTCTCAGGGGCTGCCAATGGTTTCCAAGGCATGCGAGATGGCGTGGCTCTCCTTAAAGTCTGGCTGCGCCAGAGGGAGCTCGACAAGGTGGGTCGTGGTGTGTCCCGGGAGAGGGAGCGGCTGGAGAGGGCCCCTCTTGGTTCGCCAGTTCCAGAAACTAGTCTCTTTTTTGCAGGATCCGACACGAGAAGTAGGAAAGGTTTTTGTTTTTCAGACTGAGCTGGGGTCTTGGGTCCAGAAGAATCCACTTTCCAAATTCTTGGGGCTGGATATTAAGCACAGGTCTGTTAAGTAGAATTAGTTTCAGAGGCATGTTTGGGGCGCACTCAGAACTTGGAAAGGTGATTTTTTTTCATTTGTGACAACCGCTCTTGGTCTGCACAGATTTTCTGTAATTCTTTTCCAAGTGTAGTTCAAGATTAAAGCTTTGTCTTATAGTTGAGTGGTTTCGGTCTCTCTGGCTGCGGAACCAGAGGCTGGGCGTTTGGTTCCCCGCTGCGCCTCCTTGGTAAAGGCTGGACTCGATGATGTTCCCCGCTGTGCCTCCTTGGTAAAGGCTGGACTCGATCTGTAGGGTCCCTTCCAGCTCTTAAGACAATTATTCCTGGGTGGATTCCATGTTTACAACTAGAGAAGTTTGACTTTTCATATCATATAAACCGTGATATGCCATATTTTTCTGTGTATAAAATGACACTTTTCCCTAAAATAATTGAAGGAAAAATTAAGGGTTGTTTTATAACTGGAAGTAAGGAGTGGGGAGGAATCAAAGTGCTTTGATCCTTGTTCCCCCCCTCCACATTTTGCAAAGAAAATGCAGGGAGGAAGCGATTTCTGCTTTCTCCCTACATTTTTGTTGCAAAAAACAGCTTTCTGCCTCCAAGTTTTGCAAAGAAAATGCAGCGGGAAAGCGATTTCTATTACCCCCCCTACATTTTCATTGTAAATCACTTTCCCCCTGCATTTTCTATGCAAAACTTGGAGGCAGAAAGCTGCTTTTTGCACAAAAATGTACGAGGGGGGGAATCAGGAGATTTTCCCCCTCCACTTTCTTGCAAAGAAATAAATTTTGATTTAGAAAAGTAGAGGGGGGCTTTATACATGGGGGTGTCTTATACATGGGAAAACATGGTATTAACCCAACAAGGAACTTCTACTGCATATTCTGTCCTGCAGTTTTTTAACCAACTAATTCTGGCTATGCTAGTTACATTGAGGAGCAAGCCCGATGGCCAGCATGGATGTCCTTTTTTTACTAATTTCATCTAAAGAAAGTTGTCTTAACACCCTGTCTCTGCTATCCATGCCTGTATTTGCAGCCCTAAAGGTTTCAGACTTATTGTTACATGAAAGCCAAGATTCCCATGCAGCCAAGACTTCATGCTGTGCGGGATTCCCCCCCCCCCCAAGCTCTCCTGCAGAATCTCACACACCTCCCAGTTCTTCAGGTCTTGGCTTCCAATCTTTAAAATAGCAACACCGGCAGCCTTCCTCTTGCGATTATTTTTAAGGATGAAAAGTCAAAGATGATACGGCATTCTGCATGCTGAAAGCTGTGATCCCTCTGCAGTATGTTAAAAGTCTCCTGATTAGTTACAATTAATCCTCTCAAATCACAGAAAGTTCATAACTGCCATGCAATGACTTGTGATCTGGAAGATCTTAGCAACGATGGAGGGGAATCTGTAGCGGGACAGAATTCTGTGCTAACTCTTACGATTGGTCTTTTTCTTGCCTGCTGGCTCCCAGGGTCTCGGATGCTTCAGTGGCTTCCTGGCTTCCATGCTGGTGGGCTACCTCTTAACCACTAACAAAATCAACAAAATGATGAGCGGTTACCAAGTGTTGAGAAATACCCTCCAGTTCTTGGGTAAGTTCCGCTTTGCTTTGACTTTGAGACAGGCGGACATAAGAACCTAAGAAGAGCCCTGCTGGATCAGGCCAAGGGCCCCTCTAGTCCAGCTTCCTGGATCCCACAATAGCCCCCATCAGATGCTCTGTGAGCACCCGAGAGACCATGAGAAACCTGTCTCCTAATTCCCTTCCCTTGCCTCTGGCCTTTGGAGGGACCTTCCTTTGAAGCCTGGAGATCGTACATCCCCATCATGGCTTGTCACCTGCGATGGACTTTTCCTCCAGGAATCTGTCCCATTCCCTCTGAAAGGCCTCTAGGCCAGATGCCATCTCCACATCTTGTGGCAAGGAGTTCCACAGACTAATCACATGCTGGGGCAAGAAAGATTTTTTTTGTCTCTTCTCACTCTCCCAACACTCACTCTGAGTGGATGTCCCCTGGTTCCGGTATTTGTGTGAAAGGGAAAATGCTCTTTGCCACTCTGGACCACTTGGAAAAATCAAACAGGGCGCTCCTTCCTGGATTTCACTGCTGCTGATAAGGAGGCTTTCAATATTGCAAATAGGGAGGCGACTGTTTCACCATCTCGAAATTTCCTGCCTGCAGAAAGTGCAGCCTTATTGTGGGGAGCCTGTTTTCTGTGGTGTGGTAGGTTTCTAGTTGTTAGGAGTTGAGGGAGTCCAAGAAAAGGGGATCAAAATATTTTTATGTTTAAAAACAATTAGGAGTAACTAACCCTCGTCTGTTTGTCGGGCCCACTCCCTCCCTCCCTTCTGTTGGATGATAGCCCCACCCCACTCCAAACCCCATGGCATTACCTTTCACACTCCTTCCTGTGCCTTCGTGGAATGGTTTATCATCCTCCCTCATCATCAAACTCCTTCCAGACTCTTGGGGGATCTTGCGAAATGGGGTCGGTGTGTCCTCTGAAGGTTCGGGAAGGGCAAGAGGAGAGCAGCCCATCATTGTGGAAAACGGTTCCTTTGCCTCAAAAGCCTTGGGTCCCTGCTCCCCATCACACACACCCCAAGAACCTTTGCTGGCCACCTTCTTCATTAAGTTCATGAATATCTTTGCGGGTGAGGTTCCAGGCAGCCCCCAGGGGCAATTAATTGCCTGATTGGCACGTGTTTTTCTTTCTTTCTTTCTGTCTAGCTACGACAGACCTGAGTTGTTCCGGAATCCGTCTTTCGAAGGATGAAGAGGCGACGCTGGTATGAGAGTCTTTCTTGTTGGATTTATATTGCCTTGAAGATAGCCGAGGGCATGGGGGTGGCCAGCCACCTGCCGACTTGACCCCAAATCTTCTCATCTGATTTTTTTGTGTGTGTGCACGTTACAATTTGAATATAAGGGAGGTTCCACATGTCTGTTGCTAAGAATGTACAGAGAACCTTGTTGGGATTCCCAGTCTTGGGTCAACCAGGTGTTCTTGGACGGCCCCTCCCGGAAGCCTTCGCCACCAAGTTGTGCTGGCCGCAGCATCTGGGAACAGCCGTCTGAGAATCCCTGGGCGACCCACGGTTGGGAGCCACCGCATTAGATCACGTCCCTCTCGGGTCCGAGGTTCTATTTACAGGACAGCTGGTGGCCAGTAGTAAGGAAATACGCTGAGAGGGCATGAGGGATGACAGCACCCCTTTGCTCCCTGGACCGCTGTTGTCGCAGAGGGTCGCTGTTGCAACTGGGACGGTCACGTTTGCCGTCCCAGCGGGGGTTGGCCCAAGAGGTCCACCCCAAACAGCCGTCGCTGAGGTTCTCCCATCTCGGAGGTGCTGGTTATGGAAGACCAAATGGCTGATGCCTGAAGCGCTGCCAGACAGAGACTTTATTTTGCAAAATGTTGAGCCCAGGCCTGTCCTTAACGGGTGACATTTGGCACGACGTGGCCGCAAAGGGGAGGGGGCATCGAGTGAAGGGCTGGGATTCGTGGCTGATGAGAAGAGAGGAGGGTTGCAATGATTCCGGATTGAAGCTTGTCTGGCTGCTGTGGTTGCAGAATGGTCCAGGTCTTCTTAGGGAGTCTGGGATCCATGACATGGATTTGTTTGCCCCGTTAGGACCATTTTTTTTTTTACATTTTTACAATGCCTTTGAAATCAAAACCTCTTTTCTATATTATAGCATTCCCTGTCGGACTTCCATGGGGCATTCCAGGTGGTTTTTGTGGACCCTTCAGGACTGGTCAACCTGTGTGCAGATATGACCGCCAGCACGTATAAGCAGGTAAAGGTGTTGATGGGTGAGCTCGTGCTGGAAACAAAGCCGGTTCTGACATCCTCTGGCTTGGTTTTAAGTCGATTCAACAGTGTTCAGTCAGGGACGCTTTTTTTTCTACAACTGTGTATGGTTGGCTGTGACCCCGAGGAGATGAGCTCTAGTTCGGATTTGAAGCTGACTTGCCGTGCGGCCTTGGGTCTTCACCTACAACCTGAGGTTGCCCAGTGAAAGTGTTCATTAGTCTTACTTTGCTGGAAAGGAATAACTGCAACATGAAGCCGTAGTTGCTCAGAGTGTGGAAGAGAACAACTGGAGGAGTTCAGGGTTTCAACAACAACAACTATAATAGTGTGCTGCCAAGTCAGTTTTGACTTATAGTGACATTTTCCAGGGTTTTCTTCTTCCTGGGACTGTGCAGCTGGCCCAAGGCTACACAGGCTGGCTCTTCTGGAATGCACAGTGGGGGAATTGAACTCCCAACCCTCTGGCTCCACAGTCAGAGGCCTAAACCATTGAGCTATCCTCCTGACTGCTTCAGGAGTTTCAAGCATGTATAAGACACCCTCCCACCTTTCTAACCCAAACTTAAGAAATCTAAGTGGGGCTTAGCAAGTGTAGGGGGAAAGGGATCAAAGGAAAGGGATCAAAGTGCTGCAGGATCGCTTTGATCCCTGCTTTCTCCCTTCGTGCTAAGCTCCGTGGGGCTTAGCAAAAGGAGGGGGAAAGGGATGAAAGCAATCTTGCAACTGCATGATCATTTTGATCCCTTTCCCCCTTATACAGCCACGGGATTGTTTTGATTCTTTCCCCCCTCCTTTTGTTAAGCCCCATGGGACTTAGCAAGCAGAGGGGAAAGCAGGGATTAAAGCTATCCTGCAACGCTTTGATCCCTGCTTTCCTTTGCTAAGGATTAGCAAGTGGAGGGGAAAGCAGGGATCAAAGCCCTGCAGGAACAATTTGAACCCTGCTTTCCCCTCTACTTGTTTTTCTCTCCTCAGCTTATTTCCGTGTATAAGACAACGTCAATTTTTAGTCTAAAATTTTAGACAAGTATAAAGTACAATAGTCTTATACATGGAAAAATATGATAACTGGAGAGGCTACATGTTGAGAACTGCTGTCCTGAGGCTCTTGAAATTCTTTGTTGAAGGGCAAAAGATGCCAAAGCAAAAAAGAAAAGAAAAAAAAAGAAAAGTAAAGTGTGCTGCTTATTTGCCACCCCATAGCGCTTAACACCATCTTTATGGGTTTTTACAATTTAATTATGCAGGCTACCCATTGCCCCCCCTCCCCTGAGAAAGCGGCGTACTCCCTTTGCTGACTTTGGAAGAATAGGGAAGGTTGAGTCAACCTTGAGCCAGCTACCTGAGCCCGCTGGGATCAAATTCATGTCATGAGCAGAGTCTTCACCGCACTGCTGCAGTTTAACTATTGTGCCACGATGCTAGGGTGTTAAATGTGCATGGTATGGTTAAAATGGGCCAGATGATCTCCCGTGAGTTGGAGGTCATCCAAGAAAATAGATTTTCTGAGTTGAATGGAGGAAAAGAACTCCAATACATAGTTAACGTATAGAATTTGCTGCTTCAAGACATCCCACTAGTTAAGCTGCCTTGGGTAAGAGATTAGGAAGTCTCATGCAGACTTGTCATAGTGGCGGCTCTCTCTTCTAAGAATGCTAAAAGAACGTGGCTTATGATGGCACAACCTTGTATATCCTTTCTGCTTGACACAACAGGAAGTGGCTACCCTTTCTTGGTTAATTACCCCTTCCTTTTTAATTAGCTCGCTCCTGATCCCTGTGCGTGACGTGGTTTCCTTCTTCCTTTAGGTCCAGTTCGAAGCCAAACGTTCCATGGAGGTTCTAGATGACAAAACCGTGGACGGATTCCAGTTGCTGCTTATGACCCCCAAGCCTTGGATCCGGACCTTTGACCATGTGTTTCAGTACGTTCTTTGCCACAATATTGAAACCGGGGGCGGGGGTGGGCGCTCAGATGCCCATCGAATCAACGGGAATTGTAACATCCCAGACTTAACAAAAATGAGCTGGTGAACTCCATATGCAAATGTGTCGATATAGTTCCTTAAGAGAGATGAAGTTGTGTAATGTTTTTTTACCAAATTCTGCATTTCTTGGCACAAAAAGAGAGTTCAGTTGGCTCACTCTCTCCTTTTCTACGTCAGCGTGTGTGTGTGTGTGTGTCAAGGATCATGCCAGAGGGTTTGGGTCATCCATGATTGTCTTCATGTGGTGACATCTGTGTCTCTCCTTCCCTCTTATCTCAGCCTCAGCAATCTCTCGAAGCTTCAGACCGCCTCCAAGAAGATGCGGCTTCTCAACGAACTGATGGACCGTGGTGGGAACTATGTGGCCGCAACGCTGCCTTTCCTCCTCAGTTTGCTGGAACGTGGGCTGGGCCAGCGGGTCGTCCTCTTGACACACAGTTTGCTCCAGACTCAGCCGGTAATTGCATCTGCAAGTCAAATTTATTCTGCCTTACTCTTAAACGAATGCAACGCTCAAGGCAGGAGTCCCTTCTAGGCCGCGGGCTTCAGACTCGCATGTTGGTTGGAACTTCCAGTTACTTGCTCGTATTTTATATTTGCCTATTTAAATGTTTTTTTCTGTCGCCTTTGAGAATTGTAAACTACTTCTGAGTGTCCCTTACTTAAAAAACCCTATAAACGGTCTGTAAGTCAGAATTGACTTGCTGGCACATCATGATGATGATGATTTCAGATCAAAACTCTTGCAGGACATGTTGTGTTAAAATCAACTATCAAGTATAGAGGTTGCTTTTCCATTAAAAGGACTATACGAAAGCAATGCATGCTGCCTATACTGCCCCATGGCACTTAAATCAGTCTCTGTGTGATTTACGATTGAATTACTCAAGCTACACGTTGCCCCCCCCTCTCCCCCCCAGTGAACAGAGTACTCAATGGCCAACCTCAGAAGGATTGGAAGGCGGAGTGTCTAGCTTTGAGCTGGCTATCCAATCCTGTTGGGATGGAACGCCGATCGAGAGCAGAGCCTTGATTGCAGTACTGCAGTTTAACCACTACGCAATGAGGCTCGTTCTGAACAACAGTTGAGAGTAAATTCAACATGTGGGCAATGCAGCATTATCGGATTCCCTAAGATAGCTGAAGACAATTTGTAATAGCATAAAGCAGTAGAAATCCTTTCAGAGGAGGCAAACCAAAATCAGTCATTTTTCAGAATCATCACTCCATTTGAAAGCTGGTAGGGGTAGCCCAGTAAGGATGTCACTGAGGAGAGAGACCCCTTGTCTTTGGCTTCCGATCTGATTGAGCATTGAGACCGGCCTTTTGAGCACTGGTCATTATTGTGATCCTTTGTGTTGAAATCATTCCTAAATATTGAGTACTATACAGCATCCTGGGGACGTGGTGGCGCTGCGGGTTAAACCACAGAAGCCTGTGCTGCAGAGTCAGAAGACCAAGCAGTCGTAAGATCGAATCCACGTGACAGAGTGAGCTCCCGTCGCTTGTCCCAGCTCCCACCAACCTAGCGGTTCGAAAGCATGCAAATGCGAGTAGATAAATAGGGACCACCTCGGTGGGAAGGTAACGGCGCTCCGTGTCTAAGTCGCACTGGCCATGTGACCACGGAAGATTGTCTTCGGACAAAACGCTGGCTCTATGGCTTGGAAACGGGGATGAGCACCGCCCCCTAGAGTCAAACACGACTGGACAAAAATTGTCAAGGGGAACCTTTACCTTTTATACAGCATCCTATAGTAACTCTCTACTTGGGGAGGATTAAGAAGGGATTTATGGGCTGCCGTGTATGTTTTTCCTGGCTGGTGTCAGGAATGCCCCTCCTTAAAGGGTACTATTCCACTAGGAGAAGGTGCCAGCTTTACTTCCCAAATTCCACCACCTTTTGAACCCTTGGCCAAGTGAAACCTAGAAGGTGCGTGAGTGGGCAACTATGGGCAAGTTTCTAACCCTAGATTTCCAATTGCTTCCTTTATTTGGGGTAAAATATTACTGGCTGTGTACTTTTATGCCTGACCAGTTAGGACACCCAAAGAACAAAACTAGCCAGCCCTAGTCCCGTGGCTAAGGCGCTTTCTTTAGACGCTCAAACCAGTAGGATCACACTTGAGTAAAATAGAAAACATGGTTTGTTTTTTTAAAAATTATATGAAAAAGTTTTAAAACAAGATATTCCAAACAGTGACAGATTGTACTGTTAAAATGCCAAGCCTCTAAGGATGGGATGAACTTCTGAAAGCAATTCCCAGTAAAACAATAACCATCTAGCTAACTTATACGGGATCACCATGTTACTCTACGCTACCATTGCTAAGTCTCCTACTCAATCAACAAAGGCTGTAAAACCTGTCACTCCTTTCTTCTTCTTCTCCAGCTCTCTCACACACTTAACCCTTCCTTTCTATAAATCAAAGTCTCTGCTTCGTGATGGTATCCAATCAGCATAAAGGCTGGCTGTGTACTTTTATGCCTTGCACACCAGCCTGACTAGGTAGGACACCAAAGGAACAAAACTAGCCAGCCTTTCTTTAGACGCTCAAACCAGAAGGATCACACTTGAGTAAAATAGAAAACATGGTTCATTTAAAAAAAAAACATTAAAAAGTTTTAAAGCAAGATATTCCAAAGAGTGACAAGCTCTTAAGGATGAGATGAGCTTCTGAAAGCAATTCCCAGTAAAACAATAACCATCTAGCTAACTTATACGGGATCACCGTGTTACTCTACGCTACGATTGCTATGTCTCCTACTCAATCAACGAAGGCTGTAAAACCTGTCACTCCTTTCTTCTTCTTCTTCTCCAGCTCTCTCACACACTTAACCCCTCCTTTCTATAACTTAAATCAAAGTCTCTGCTTCGTGATGGTATCCAATCAGCATAAAGTCCTTTGTTTGCAAGTCCCTGCACAGCTTGTAACTTCCCGAAGTCCAGTCTAGTACAGTGGTGCCTCGCATAGCGAGGTTAATCCGTTCCGGATTAACCCTCGCTATGTGAAAACATCGCTGTACGGAACGGGGAAGTCCATTGGAACGCATTAAACATCGTTTAATGCATTCCAAATGGGCAAAAAACTCACCGTTCAGCAATGTTTCCAGGGTCCGGCAGCCATTTTCGCACCCTCAGTAAGCGAGGGCAGGGCGCGAAAACACTGCGCATGACCATTTGGGGGCTTCCAGCGGCCATTTTGGAACCGCCGATCAGCTGTTCCCCCGACATCTCAATGCGTAGATCGGTAAGCAAAACGCTTACCGATCTTCGCAATGCGAGTTTTGCCCATAGGGGCCATCGGTATGCGATCGCATTTGCGATTGCAAATACCTCATCGCTATGTGATTTTGTCGTTCTGCGGTGCGCTCGTTAAGTGAGACACCACTGTACTCCCATTTCCAGGCTGATAAGCAATTAGGAAGGGATCCAAGGTTGATCACTCTCGATCTTCGACCTTGAAGTGGTCTCCTGGAAGCCTGAACGATAGGCTGCTTCTCGGGCCATGGCACTTGTGAAACTCTTGGAAAAACAAGTGCTACAAAACCCATCTCCTCCCAGCTGGCTTGGCTGATTTTGTTTCTCCTGTCTTTTCCTTCCCAGTGGTCAATCGACACCGATCCCCCGAAGCACAAAGATGCTGGGTCCTTGTCATTTGGACTTTTGCTGAGCCCCGATTTTGCGTCCAGGGTCTTGGAGAGGGGACCTGAAGCGGATAAACCCGAGGTGAGGCTCGTACCACACTCTTAAGTCTTGGGATTTGGCTTGGTTGTTTGCAAACCCTTCCCGCCCATCTCCTTCTCTCTTGAATGGAGAGCCTGTTGGATGGGATTGAAGTTGGCCTTTCCAAGGACAGCACCTTGCCCTCTGTATTTCTTTCAGGAAAAATAAGACTTTGTTGTCAGCCGCCAGTTCAGTGACCTATTAGGCTTTAATACCTGGAAAAGTTCTTACTCTGTTTTATTTATAGAAACTCTAAACCATGTTTCCTGCATGGTTTGCAAAAAGCATTAAGCTCGTCCAGTGTTAAGAAAAGTTCATTCCCCTCCCCCCAAATCACTTCAATGCTGAATCGGGGATTCTTAACCTAAATCCGGAAAGATGGGGTAACTTTCCCCACATTTCGGTTTATCTGTGATAATAGTCAGCAGTTGTAATGCTTACATGCATATTTGTGTTTCGCTCTGCTTTCCTTCTTCTGTGGCTGGAAATGCCAAAGAAGGTGGTGGTTCAACATGACCTGGGAACATTAGATGGTGTCCTATATTTAAAAACTTGGTTCTTTAGGCAGGCCTTCCCTCCTGTCGTTACCTGACTCTTACTTTTACTTAGTCTTTTGTTCTGTTTTCCATCTTTTCCAACGCTAACATTGTCGATTTAATTCATGGTTTTTATTGTTTTATGAATAATTTTATTCATTTGTGCAAACGACCTGTTCTGACACTCAGCCACAATCCTCCACTGTGCATCAGAATGTGCCCCCTGTCCTGGGGGATCGTGGTGTCGTTTCTTCTTTTAAAATAATGTTATTAACGTCTGGCCATGGGTTCATGTATTTTACTTTGAACAAAGCGAGGGCGGTCGAAGAGAGTCAACGTTTTGACCTCCTTCCACTTCTGCTCCTGCAGGCGTTGGCGTTTCGGCAGTTCTGGGGGCAGCGCTCGGAGCTGAGGCGCTTCCAGGATGGAGCCATCTGCGAAGCCGTTTTGTGGGAGGCGCCAAACATGAGCCAGAAACGCCTCGTTCCGGAGCAGATCATCCGTCACCTCTTGCGGTTGTGAGTGCCCCCCGTGGGTGACTTGTGTTGAGGGTGGTGGGGGGAAGGCGTCCCCGAGAAGGAGACCGTAGAGGTGCTGTGATGGGGAGTGGTGAACGGGGCCATCCGAGGAACCCAACTGTGGAAAAGGAACAAGGACTTCCCTTCTTCCCAGTAAGGAGTAAGAGTGCTTCCAGGGTTACATTCTGTCAGTAGAACACAGCTGGAAGTCGGAGCAGGATCTTTTTCGTGGGTCCAGCCTCTGGCTTTCCTGTTGTTGCTGGAATCTTCATCCCTATCAGTCCCAGCTGGAGGGATGTCGTAAAGGATGGAAGGTGGTCCAAAACCATCAGCACTTTCTCCTGCCTTGGGCACGTGTGAACATAGATGCTTGCCCAAGGTTGACTCCTCCGACCCAGCAGTAGGGCCTTGTGACGACAAGGTGGAAGCCCTGCCCTCCCGCATAGGGGAGGGAGAGCGAGCTGGCAGGGTGGGAGATGCTGCCAAGGAGCCATGGTCACCACCTGCTTGCCAGATTGGTATTTGACCACACAGGCCTCTTTGTGGCTGCCTCCTGCCAAAGGGTCAGTAGATCAGTTCGGTACCCCATCCCGAACTGGCGAAAGGAGGGACTTCTTCCCAAAATACGTCGCTCAAGTGATTTGCTCAACAATGCAGTTCAAGTGCCAGGAAGGAGTTGCTGCTTCTTCATGTCTGTTTCAGCATTTCCCTGATGGTTGGGACCTTAATAAGTTCAGACGCTGCCTGGAGGCAGAGCAAGGCCAGATAATCCCTGCTTTCACAAAACTTTGGCCAGATTCTGCAGACGGAAACGCAGCTTTTCTGCAGCCGTGAACCCCACTCAGCTCCTTGTGTTTCTGGCTCCTAACTTTTCACCTGGTGCCACATCTGCCCTTGGCCCAAGCTTTTCTCAGCAGATTGCAGGGGTCAGATCCTTGCTTCTAAGAAAAAGGTGAAGGGGAAATCTGTGGTGATGAAGAAGGGGATTCCATACTTAACAGTCCTTCTCAGTTTGTGTTCATTTGTCTCTGCAGACACATGGACATTCCTGAATCTGCCATCTGTTACACAGGCGCCAAGCTGGAGTCCGTAATTAAAATCGGTCGTGAGGTGAGTCTTCCGTCTTTTTCCTCTATCTTTCTCTCTCACTATCTCCCCACCCACGAAAATACGGTAATTCAATTGTATAGCATGTGGCAAAAAATAACCACATATCATATGCAAAACCAGCCAAATCTTGTGTTTTCATGCTTTGATTAATGTAGACAGATTTTGTTAGAATCTGTAAACTGAAAACCTCAAATAAGAGCTTAAAACCCCTTTGGGGGTGTTTTTAACAGTGGTTTATTTGCAAGATTTTTTAGCCATGCCATTACCAGTGGTCCCTGAGCAGGTGTCATCGTCCCTGCTCCCAACCCCCCCCAAGTAAAAGCGTAGCCCACAAAGCCCTCTCATGCATTCTAGGGAGTATAGGAGGCAATTTTGCCCTGTTTGGGTGGACTCTCAGCACCCCCTGCCCTCACGTATTCCAAAAATTGAACAAGAAAAAAATACACCATACCTTCTGGCCACTAGAGGGTGGAAGAGGCTTTAATTACATTTTTTAAAAATAAAATGTACTTTTATTTACTTACTTATCTATCTATTTCTCTCATGCATTCTAGGGAGTATAGGAGGCAATTTTGCCCTGTTTGGGTGGACTCTCAGCACCCCCTGCCCTCACGTATTCCAAAAATTGAACAAGAAAAAAATACACCATACCTTCTGGCCACTAGAGGGTGGAAGAGGCTTTAATTACATTTTTTAAAAATAAAATGTACTTTTATTTACTTACTTATCTATCTATTTTTTTTATTTNAGAATGGAATTATGCTCCAGGTTCCTGCCGTAGGCCTGTGCAGCTCCCCCCCCAGATTGCTGTAGACTGCCCACCCCTACTTGAAAGGTAGAATCAGATCCCCTGAAAGCCGGTGGAGTCATGACGTTCCATTTCGGATCGCTCTTTTCTCCCCTTGAGGATGGTGGTGAGGTCATGGGAGGTGGTGACCCTGAACTCTCCCTGAGCCTGTGGGCTGCAGAGATCCCACCATCCCTGCCTTACACAGGCGACAGGAACCATGCCATTTGGAAATGCAGCATTCTGATCTAGAACCCGGCTAACCCCCTTGTCTTGGGCTCCTGCACCCTCCTTTCTTGCCTAGCCTCAGTATTCGTCCTGCAATTCATCTTTCTTGATCCTTGTAGTTTTTTCCTCCTAAATTTTTCAAAGAACACCCTTTGAGTGCCCTCATCTTTGTCTCTTTTTTTACATAAGTAGTCAAGCAGCATGTTCTGCCCTTATGGATTCCAGACGTGATGATCTGCCGCTCCAATTATCGCCAGCTGGCGTGATCGTGCTATAGTGGTGGGAAGATGATGGGTGTAGTTATCCAGCCCGCTGGGAGGGCACAGGCTTTGGAGAAAGTGGTTCTGAAGCTGTGAAATGAAACTCAGGCTGCACACCACCTACAGCTGCCCCTGCTTCCAACCAAACCAGGAGACAGCCTTCCCTGTCACCACTCTCAGACTGTGGAACTCCCTGCTACGGGAGGCCAGCCTGGCCCCCTCTGGGCTGTCCTCCCTCAAGCAGGCAAAAATCCTTCTCTTCAGGCAGGCTTTCCCTCAATGACTGGCTACCTGAGTGTTGTTTTAAATCGGTGGTTGTGCCTTCTTGCTTTGAATTTGTGTTTTTGTTTACCACATTTTGATGTGGTGGTTTTTTTTACCCTTGTTAGTATTTGTATACTTTGCTGTTTTTAGATTCAAATATTGGCTTTTCATTGAGGGAAGCCACCTTGGGTCCTTTTTAAGGAGAAAAGAAGGGGGGGAAATTTTAACAAATGAAATACATAATACTGTGCTTTCCAGAAGGATGCCCTCAGCATTTCTCCTTGGATTCTGGAAGGAATTCCCCACCCCCAAGCTCTGAAACCTTCTGCTTCTTCTGCTTGGATGAAGTCTTTTCTCCCGAGTTCAGTCTCCGGAGCCTTGGTCCGCCTTGAGATGGCGCCCTGAATCTGTGCTGTTTCCGGCACTTCGGCTCCTCTGCGCTTTGAGCGTCTTCCTCAAGGAAACAGCAAAGAAAAGGTTGCCGAATTCTTTTCTTTTTTTCCTTTTTTTTGTAGCCGACAGGTACGGGCGAGGAGGCCACTGTGAACCTGGTCCGATCCTATGACGACCTGAGCCGGAAGCTGTGGAACCTGGAGGGACTGACGCTGACGGTGACCGCTGTGCAGGGGGCTCACCCAGCCCTCCGATACACAGATGTGAGTGTCTCCAGGAAGCGGGGAGAAGAGACATTGGGTGTGTCTTCTGGATCTCCTGAGACAGAGCTCTATATTATATTTATTTATGCAACTTCTATACTGCCCGACTTAGTGAAAGGTGCTATTCTGGGTGGCTTACATAATATACATAAAAACTGAAGAGTAATTATGAACCCTAACCCAGAACAAATGAACCCAATGAAGATGATGCCACATTTCTCTCAACAGGGGACCCAAAGCAGCTCACAACATTAAAATTCACACAATTTAAAAACACAGTAAGTTAAATATCAAAAGACAGATTAAATAAGATGTGGATTAAAATAAAATTAAAAGGTTAAAACATGAAAAAGATCAAAATTATCTGCTGCAGTGGGGTTCAGGGATTTAGTTATAGTTTTTAAAAGCCTGCCTGAAGAGATGGGTCTTTAGCTTTTTTCAGAAGGATAAAAGGGGAAGGGGCCATCCTGACCTCCCGAGGGGGAGCATCCTGTAGCCTGAGAGTGGCCCCAGAGAAGGCCCTTTGTTATATTGTTTTATTCTGCACCTGATATCCTATTCGGTAGTACTCATTAATAACACCTTAAATAAAAAATAAATTATCAATTGCTGGATAGTGTAGTGGTTTAGGTCTCTGGCTGCGGGCCCAGAGGTAGAGGGTTCAATTCCCCACCATGCCTCCTTGAAATAGAACCATCTTGTGTGGCCTTGGGCAAGCTGCACAGTCCCAGGGTACCCCCAGAAGAAGGGAAGGGTAAACTGCTTCTGAGTCGTCTCTACCTAGAAAACTGTGAAAAGGGTTGCCATAAGTCAGAATCAACTTGATAGCACACAGCTTTTATTATGATGGTTGTATTTATTTTATTTTATTTTTTTCTTAGCTGATCTTTATCCTACTGGATTCCAGTGAGGAATGCCGTAATAAATTGCAATAACGTTTTTAAAAAACATAAATACAAGGAGGTTGGAAACCCATAAAACTACAGACACAAACTATGAAAGAGATAAGAAATGCCTAAATAAATAAAAAAGGTCCTGACCTTGACTTAAGAATTATCTTAATGATACAAAGGTAGTCATCGGAACAATCCCAACCAACACACATCCTTATTGATAAAATGATACTGAAGAATGCAAAAAGATGAAAAACAAAACATGGCCTGGATAGACTATAAAAAGGCATTTGATTCATTGCCACACAGCTGGATTAACAGCTGCCTAAAATGTTTGGGATCAGTAAAAACATTCAGAAGTTCCTCAAGAAAAACTTGGAAAAATGGGAAACTGTCTTAATGGCCCATGGTGAAGAAACTGGGGAAGTTAGCATCGAAAGAGGAATACTTCAAGGTGTTTTTTTTGTCACCACGGCTGTTTAACATCTCACTAATCCCCATGTCAGTAATTTTAAATGAAACTGGATTGCGCTACCATATTTGAGAACAAGCAGGAAAAATCCTCTGTTATACAGGGATGACCTAAAACAATATGCAAAAAGTTCTACGGAGATAGAATCATTGTTAAACAGTGCAAATATTTAGTGAAGACATCCAAATGGAATTTGGAATTGACAAATGCACATCTCTGTGCATACACCGTGGCAAGATCCAAAAGCTAGATGGAATAGAGTTAAACTTGGCAACATTATAAAATCACTCTCAAGTGATGAAAATTATAAATACCTTGGAATACTAGAAGCAGATAATATCGTGCACACAGTTAAAGAACTGACAAAGTGAATATATCTAAAGACTGCGGAATCTTAAATTCAAAATTAAATGGTGGAAATACAATCAAAGCCATAAGCACACGGGCAGTTCCAGTGATAAGATACCAAGCTGGAATAATAGATTGGACTCAAAACAAATTAGAGTAATTGGATCAAAAAACACTGAAACTAATGAACATTCATCATACACTACATCTAAAAAGTGATGTGGACAGACTCTATTTACCATGAAAAACTGGAGGCCACGGATTACTGCAAATACAGCCGGTAGTAGAGGAAGAAAAAATAAAGCCTAAATAACTATATCAGTACAAGCAGAGAAAATTTACTGAAAGCAGTGAAAACAGAATATTTTCAAAACAGAAACAAAGGCTCAATATAAGAAACAATTTGAAAAGAAACAGCTGGAAAAATAAACCACTACATGGACAACACTAGAGAAATATTGATGGAAAGCATGATCATAATTCAATATGGGCATGGCTAAAACTGGGGAGCCTTAAGTAAGAACAAGCACTCCAATCCAATGTGATGAAAGCTAAAACCCAAGCAATTAGTGCTAATAGCAAATTTTGACTCTTATCAAGAAAAATATGAAACTGTGTCACTCTCATTTGTGAATGTCCAGAAATGGCACAAACAGATTACAAAGTTAGAGATGACAGAGTGGCAAAGTTAGTGCACTGGTCATTATGTAAAAAATAAAACTTGCCAGCCTCCAAAAACTCATGGGAAGATCAGGTAGAGAAGGTGTCAGAAAATGAGGAAGTCAAGATCTTGTGGGATTTCCAGATCCAAACTGGCAGAGACCTTGAATACAACACACCAGACATAGTAGTAATAGAACGAAGAATTGACCTTGCAATTCCAGGCGATGCCAGAGTCGAAAATAAAGAATTGGAAAAACTAACAAAGTACAGAGACCTGGCCATGGAAACATCTTGCCTCTGGAAGAAACACACTTCAGTGGTCCCCGTCGTCATCGGGGCTTTGGGAACAATATCAACAAACTTCACACAGATGGGTCTTTACCTTTTTTCTTCCTGATCTCCCGAGGGGGAGCGTTCTACCGCCTGGAAGCGGCCACCGAGAAGGCCCTTTCTCTTGTTTCCCCATCAGTTGGGCTTGCGCTGGCCATGGGACCGAGAGGAGGGCCTCCTCGGTGTTATATAATACCAGTCAATGTTTTTATGATTTGACTGTGCCTGGAGTTTTTGAAGAAGAAGAAGGAATGTGATGATGATGGACATGTTGAGCTTTCCAGCATGTCAGGCAGGCAGAGAGAGAAAGAGAGAGAGGTGACCTTTTCTGACCTGCAGTGGGAGGTACCTGGGCTCGAACCTTCTGCCTGTTGCATGCAGGACACTCAGTGATGACCCCCCCCGCCCCCAACCTTCCTAAGAGGCGTTGCCTTATTTACCTCCACATTAGGAGTCTCGTCTGCGGTTTTAGTCCAGGCTTCTCATGCCCAAAATGAAAATCATGCCCCTTGGCAAACAACCTGCAAGGACAGGTTTTTCAGAACAAATCAAGAGTTTAAACAAATGAACCATTAATGACTATGTTTAGCTCTTTGAGTCCCCAGTCTTTAAATTGCCTTTTCATCTACAATATGTGCTTCCAGCTGCTGCTTCTTTTTTTTTACAGCCCGCAAGTACTAGTTGTTAAACCCTGTGAGTTTTAATACAGTACATGAATCAGAATAAATTTGCATGCATCGGTTGAATCAGATTAAATTTGCATGCATCCGTAGATGACTAAAGCAGTTGTTTGGCATTTTAACAAAACAGTGATTATTCCTGGGGCTAAATCCAGTTGTTAGTTCCAGGTGGAGTTAGGCCCCCTGAATCTGTCCATGGCTTATCACAAGGTTTTTTTTTTTGTTATACTTGTCAGTTTATTGGCCTTCTTTCTATAAGTTTTTTTATGTGCAGTCTTTTTTCAAAGGCCTAATGACTGCCTTCTCACCTTCACAAGGTCTTCCTCCCACCTATATCAGAGCTTTGTTCCACTCATCCTTTCCGTTGTCTCACTTGTTGCTAGAAATCTTATAGCCTTATCTTGATATCTACCAGGCTCTGGTCTTTTACCTGCAGCATTTTACGTCTTTCTGTAGACTGGAGAATCTATTTGTCTCTCAACAGGGGCTTCAGCTTGTGTTAGTGGACCTGCCTGTGCCTGAAATGAGCTTGCATGTTCCCCATCCATAGAATAACCTATTGCAGAGTTACTGGAAGTTGTTGTTATTTAAAATTTATTTATTTTATTAGATTTCTACCCCGCCCATCTAGACCAGTGGTTCTTAACCTTTGTTACTCGGATGTTTTTGAACTGCAACTCCCAGAAACCCCAGCCAGCACAGTTGGTGGTGGAGGCTTCTGGGAGTTGCAGTCCAAAACTCCTGAGTAACCCAAGGTTAAGAACCAGTGATCTAGACCAAAGGTCTACTCGGACCAGCAAATTAGAATAATTTTCAATTAGAATAATAACATCTTCAGCTTGAACCAAGAGAATTTCCCTCTCACTCACTCTCTCTGTCTCTTTCTGTCTGTCTCTCTCTCATGGTTATGGGCCATCCAATCGTCATACGGTGCTCGTACGGATAAATAATCTCCAAACTTTCCCGTCCTCAACTGCCCTGCTCAGCTCCTGTAATCTCAAGCTTGTGGCTTTCTTTAGGGAGTCAAATCCATCTCACGTCTGGGCCTCCTCATTTCCTGCTGCCTTCAACTTTTCCTGGCATTCTTGTTCTTGAAAGACAAGGTTGAAGGAAGCAGGGAAAAAAAAGGAAGACCACATAGGAAATAGGTTGACTCCCTAAAGGAATGTAAGGAATTGGAATCAAGCGATTGGAAGCCCCATCTCCGTGGTGTCTTCCTTCCTCTGCTCACATTCTTTTCTGATTTTTTTCCTTAGGTTTTCCCTCCGGTGCCCGTGAAGCCCGATTATGCCTACCACGCCAGGATCAAGAACCGAGAGTCACTGTTGCCCTTGATGCAGAAACCCTGCCCGGCTTACATAGCCCCCGTGAAAGGCAAGGACCAGAGTTACTGGCAAGAGGCTTTCTTGGGGGGGGGGTAGGTGTGAGTGGCTGCCCAGCCAACTCCCTTCTGCTCTTTGGTTTTACACGGCCGCGTTTCCATTAAAAAACTCTTAGTCGTCTTTCTTGCCTTGATTTTTCTCGACCACTATGAGAAGTAACCATGAGGGTAGAGCCGCCGAGCTTAGTCCTGTTGCAGCAAAACCAACACGGAATCTTGGGACACTTTCAAGACGGATATAATCCCTCTGTCTATTGTTCCAAGACAGAAATTAAAACAAACAAACAAGGGGAGATGTGATAAAGGTGTATTAAAGATTAGGGATGGAAGTGGAAAAAGAGAAGCTCCTGTCTCGGTTGTAGCAGCTGAAATCATACAGTAGCTTTGGAAGGTCGAGCCGTCGGGGTAGATCGAAAGGAGAGGCCACTTACTCAGCAAGGAGCCAGAGCAGTGGTCCCAAAAAGGGATTTACTAGCCAGGATTTCTGGGCATTGTAGTCTACGAACATCTGGGGACCCAAAGTCAGGAATCACTGGGTTGGAGGAATTTATGAGAGGGCATTTCTCTGATTAGCTGTGAGGATTGAGGGGGGGGAGTCGTGAGCAAGAGAATGCTCTTGTCCTTACTCCCTTCTTTCCGTGAGACCCTCTGGTTGACCCCTCTGTGAAGGGTGTGCTGAATTGGTTGGACTTTGGTTTTGAAACAGCAGGACGTTTCTTCTGCTCTGGACTATCCGTCTGACCGCTTCGTGGCTTATTCTGTTTCTTCTTGTTCCTTCCCCCTTCTCTCGCTCGCTCCAGTGCTCTGCCACATGGAGGGAAGTGGCCAGTGGCCCCAGGACCGGGAAGCCATCCGACGCATCAAAGCGGCGTTCCAGCTGCAGCTGGCAGAGCTGCTGCGCAAGCAGCACCGTCTCCTGTGTCGGCCCGCCCCCACCCACACAGATGTGTATAAGGTAACAGGCGCTCTCTGTGACTGTGCCTACCCCTGTGTGTGGAGCATGGAGAAAGCTATTTGTTTGTTTGTTTGTTTGTTTGTTTGTTTGTTTATTTATTTATTTATTTATTTATTTATTTATTTATTTATTTATTTATTTATTTATT